TAGTTTTTTACGCCTACAAAGTATTTTCCAGGATGCCTGGCCAATGTTGCTATTGGGGTAAGTGGGTTCGACGAGCATTCTGGTTGTCTCTCCTTTTTGTCATGCGTACTTGCAGTCCAAACGCACTGTCCATATTGAGAGATTGTTGCATTGAGATCGTAGTTTCGAATTGTTGGCCGTTGACCAAATCGGAAGTAAACAAAGAGATGTACAGTTGGCTCTTGGGGTTTGACTTCTACCTGTATCAGAGTGTTTTCGTACTTGACAGTTATCTCGTGGAAACGTAAATCGTCATCCGTAGTGAAGTACCATAGCTCGTTGGGCATTGTCCGAGGTTTTGATGGAATAACGATAACAATGTCGTCTGGTAGACTTGACACTTCCAATAGCTCGCTTCTATTGTCCTTTAGGTCCAGAAAGAGAACATCAGAGTCGACTCGCTCCTTGGTGCTGTCCCAGGTGTAAGGGTTGAATGACATTGATAACATCTGCAATAAGAAAAAATCAAAACTTTTTGTTGACTTTAAGGAATTGAGGATTCAGAGACATGATAATTATTGCTAACTGACCACAATTATGGAAGCCAAACGAGAAAAAGAGTTCAGGATGGCTAACAAAGACTGTACCTTCGAATGCGTTTGCTCTTGGGTTATCAGACTTTCCGAAGTCACCCACGACTAAATCGATTTTGACATGCGCTCGTTTCTTATTTTGATGTAATCCCTTACCTGGGTGTCGACAAAACTTGTTGTGTTTCTTCCTGTGACAGGCCATGGTGGTAAAATGAAGCTGCCACTTCCGCCCTTTATCTGCAGCCCTGCAAGTTTATTCGGGCTATGTCGCCCTAATGTCATCTTCAGGTGACCAGTGGAGATTGATATCATGTTTTCATCCGAGATTCTCAGGGCTAACAATGCGTCTGCAACTTTTCCAAGCACTTTAAGGGCAGTATTAACAGATCTTTCACCCTGTTGAGGCACTTGTAAGGTTTGCGACAACCTACTGTTTATAACAGGTAAAAATAACGAAAAGAAGCGAAGCTAAACTAGCAAAAAGAGCTTACCAACGACAATGAAAATTTTTCTCAGGCACTTGTAAGGTTTGTGACGACCTATTGTAAGTAGCGATAATGGTAACTTTATTACATTATTTGACAGTAGCATCAGCCTGGCACGCAATGTATCAATTAAAGATGAGAGAAGCCGACTCAAGTGCAGCTTGAAGTTTCATATGTAACTAGGTTTCGCTGTTGGACTATACCAGCTAACAAAATACCTGCTCTTGGAAGTCTAAGGTGGAATCTATTGACGCCATCTCTGCAGATATCTTTAGCACCCTTTGAAGACACCAAACTAAGTTTTCGGCCGATCGAGTGACTAACGACAAATCAGCAACGTCTTTCAACTGGACGGTAGACCATAGGAAGTTCGTTTGCGAGTCGACAGCCGATAACGACAGTTCCTGAGAGTGCATTATGTAAAAACATGGGATTATTCTTTTTAGGATTAGCTGCTCAGCACAGTACGTTTCTATTTCTAGGAGTCGGGGGTTAGAGAGGTATCGTCACTTTTAAACCGAGTTTGTTCAGGTAAAGGAATTTGAAAACGCGCTTAATCTTCTTTTTTGAAACATTTTTAGGTTTCGCTTGATAAACTAAACCAAGACAACCATGACAGCGTTACGGAACTCCGGCTTATGAAAAAAGCATTCAAAGATTAACATCATTATGTCAATTATGGAAATTTTATATTCCTCTACATGTGTCTCATTGTTCTCGATGAACGATCGATCTAATTTTACTTACCA